TCTTTTGCCCAGTCATGTAAAATATTATCTAAATTCTCAAAACTTTCCGCCATTTTAAAACACAGAGGGAAAAACTTTGAAATGATGACATCAATCGTGCATCTGTCCTCTAACAGATCATAGGCGAGAACCAATCAAAATGCGAGAATAACTTGGGTTATTATATAAAGATAGATAGATAGATGATTGATTTCTCGGAAAAAAAATCTTATTCTCATGAAATTCAAACAGCAGAGTGGTTTTACAAAATTTTTGAGTTTATCTCAATTTTTGTTATCTGGTTTGCTAAGTTCTTCTCATTAAAATTTTTGTCAAAGTTTTTTTACTTTCCATGAATTCAGCCTATTTTTTTCTGGAAAGTACATTTCATTTTGTGCTCTTTCAATCAGTTATAGCAAACTGCCTTGCTGTAAATACTTGGCAAGATATAAATATAAAGAATACGATGTGTTAAATTTCCGGACGTTTTTGGCTCAATGTACAGAATTGAGTTAAGGATTTACACTACTCAGTGTGATGTTTCAAAATACTTGAAAAATTGCACGCGCCTTCAGGCGAGTACAATTCAGAATTTATAGCATAGCCTTAGCGAGGCGCGCGTTCCGATTGGCTAATGCGCTCGATCCATTTGCTCGTGGGTTGCACGCTCACGTCAGTTTGTTTGTACTTTTTCTTGGCAATTTTTTTTAATCGATGAGGACACTTTTCAAAACATAATTCCTATTTTTTTTCTTCTAAAATATGGAAAGATTTAATAAATCTTCCGGAGATGAGGAAAATTATCCCTTTGAGCTACGAAATTTCCAGCTCAAGTTTTTTGCCTGGCCTCCACCGGCAGGCAGGAGTTGAATCAGTTGGTTGAAGAAAGGCACTCGGCCCTCGGAGACAGGCCAAAAAAACAGCAAACTGGTCTTAATCAACCTTTCTAGTTTAGTAATGCATAGTGGGAATTTTAGAGAGAATTTTTCAGCGACTGGATTTGGCGACAATAAAATTCAGCACAAGCTTTCACTTTAAAAGTTTTCTGGCGCCTAAAGCCATTTAAATGCTTTCGGCGAGCAAAACTTGTACATGAGGGTTTTAACAAATTTCTGTTTTAAGTGAAATCTTGCATACGAAATCCTTCTGTTCCAAAAACTGTTAAGATAATAGTTTTTCTGAGATTTAATAAAGGAAGTTTTATCAAATATTGGTGGCCTCTGATGAATAATTTAACTTAAGTTTCCAGGTTTCAGTTTTGCTCGATCGCTCGACTCGGCCGATCGTGAATTGAACTCTGGAAATGGAAGAAACAGCCGCTCGAAGGAACGACTGCATCGTGCACAAATATAAGCTATCATTTCTGACATTTTCCTTTGAGCCTCAGTTTTCTGTTCGTTTAAGCTTATTTTACCAAATGACGAAAGTGATAGAGATCATTTTTAAACGCCATTCATGTGTTCAAGTTTAGTCTCTCGCGCAACTCATCAGTTTACGAAGTAGAAAGGAAAACGAAACCTACAAACCTGCTGCTGAATAAGAGCATCTCAAAGAGCTCAAAGCCAGGGGGTGTTTTTTTTTTTGCTTTTTTCTACACTCTCGCTTTTGAGAAATGTCTGGTTCCATATTGTTCTTTTCTTTTGCCGAAGAGGCCGTGAAGGACAGAAAGCCTCAACCACCAAAAGCTTCAACCATGTGCAGCTTGTTTTCAATTCTTCGGAAAACTGGTCCAAATTTAAGCTTAACTATTTTTTGAGAAACACTTTTACCGACGACTGCAAGTTTCGTTTGTTGTCAGCTTGATATTTAGGTTAACCGAGTAGTTTAAAGTTGTTTGTTTTCCCGAGATCGAGAAAATGTTAACTATAAAATTGCCGTGATCAAAAAAAATTTTGTTGTATCGTTTTGTCAGTTTTTTGAATGAACATTTTCGCGCGGTTTATGGCGCTTTTGACTTCATGTAAGCCGGACGAGATTCAATGTATACTATTTCAAAGTCTCAATGTTATAAAAGAAATGATAAACGTG